CGCTTTCTATGCACTCAATGCTAACTCACACTAACGTCTCATACACTCAAACGATTCACTCGTTTGTATGACTTTTGTTGTACTTTTGTATAGCTTTTTATTAGCCTTTAATTCAGTGATTAGTTTTGAACTCACAGTTAGTTTCAATTGATATTTCGCTCGCAATTGGTCTCAACAGTAGCCACGAATCAGATCCACAAAAATGATGGAAGACTTTGAGAAGATCGAAAAGATTGGAGAGGGTTTGTGGTGTCCTTCTCGCGAGGGTTGTGTCCATTGATTGTCTCATTCATTGATTGCATATTACAGGCACTTATGGTGTGGTATATAAGGCGAAGAACAAGAAGACCAATGAGTTGGTGGCGCTCAAGAAGATCCGTCTGGAGAATGAGGACGAAGGCGTGCCCTCCACTGCCATCAGAGAAATCACTTTACTTAAGGAGTTGATGCACCCGAATGTGGTCCGGTATGTCATACAACCAGCCCTTCCCCTCCCATACCATACCATTCCTCTATGCGCTCACCATATTGTATGAACTGATGGATTGCCGGATCTGTTGACAGTCTGGAGGACGTGATAATGCAAGAAAACCGACTCTATTTGGTGTTTGAGTTCCTGTCGATGGATCTCAAGAAATACTTGGATTCGTTGCCAAACCCTAAGCTCATGGAAGAGAGTCTCGTAAAAGTGAGTCAATTATTACCATTTAGTTTGCGTTTGCGTTGAAATGATTGACTGAATTAACTGATCCACTGATCACCGCATTATCCCGAAGAGCTATTTGTACCAAATATTGGACGCAATAGTCTTCTGCCACTCGCGGCGTGTCATACATCGGGACCTAAAGCCGCAGAATCTGTTGCTCGACTCGAAGGGAGTCATAAAATTGGCCGACTTTGGTCTGGCGCGGGCTTTCGGCATACCGGTGCGCGTCTACACCCACGAAGTGGTCACTCTGTGGTACAGGGCTCCGGAGGTGCTGCTCGGCGGCCAACGGTACTCAACGCCGGTCGACATCTGGAGTATTGGCTGTATATTCGCGGAGATGGCCAACAAAAACCCCTTATTTCACGGCGACTCTGAAATCGATCAGTTGTTCCGTATATTTCGGTACAGATTGGGATCAGTTAGCAATTGATGGTATGCTTTAATGTATTATTTTTTGTGGCGTTCAGAACACTGGGAACACCGGTGGAGGACAACTGGCCGGGAGTGACACAACTGCCTGACTATAAGCAGTCGTTCCCGAGTTGGAAAAAAAACATTATCCCGTCTCTGATGCCAAACACAGAACAGTCCGGAATAGACTTACTTCAGGTATGTATTGATTCGTGATTTGCTATGATTTGCATGCATTTAGTGAATGGAAATGATTGACGAGTTTGTGTCCACAATGCAGAGTATGTTGATATACGACCCGCACAAACGCATCTCAGCCAAAGCCGCCCTAAAGCACCCGTATTTCAGCGATTTAAATAAGACTACACTTCCGACCGCTTCTATGGCTGTCGACTAAGTCGTGTAAATACGTTGACTCTAACACTCAGATTCTTGTATTGTATGAAAGTATTCACAATTCAGTATTAAATTAATGATGACTTTCCACACGAATGAATGCCAAATATATTTGTGTTCAACCATTAACTACTTTTCTATATTTATAACTTATAAGCACTACTTAAGTCATTAAAATTATATTTTTATATTCAATAAATACCATATATTATACGCCAAAACTCTGTTAATGTTAGATTGAATAAAATTATTTTTTAAGACCCTGAGCACTCAAGTAACCTTAGAAAGGCAATAGTTATCTAAACAATAAAAGTTTTTTGGCAATAAATTCTAAAGTATTGATTCTTACCTATTGTATTGATATTATTTTTATACTCTATTATACTTCTCGTTGTATTTCATATAAAANCTTGAGCGCCACCAACTCATTGGTCTTCTTGTTCTTCGCCTTATATACCACACCATAAGTGCCTGTAATATGCAATCAATGAATGAGACAATCAATGGACACAACCCGAGCGAGAAGGACACCACAAACCTTCTCCTATCTTCTCGATCTTCTCGAAGTCTTCCATCATTTTTGCGGATCTGATTCGTGGCTACTGTTGAGACCAATTGCGAGCGAAATATCAATTGAAACAAACTGTGAGTTGAAAACTAATCACTGAATTAAAGGCTAATAAAAAGCTATACAAAAGTACAACAAAAGTCATACAAACGAGTGAATCGTTTGAGTGTATGAGACGTTAGTGTGAGTTAGCATTGAGTGCATAGAAAGCGCTTTAATTTTGAATTCAATGCCTTCTCATTGGCTGCGAGTCTCTCACTGCAGTCGCTGTGACTGAGAGGCACGACCTCTCACTTCACGTACCAGTTATGCTGAGCAGGGTATGCCTGTGTGAAGGGGGGACAGACAGACACACCACTTGTGTAACATTTGTCTGTCTGACCACTCTGTGACACACAACTCATACAGTATTATCACACATAAGGGAACGGATATTGTAGCATGGTCATTAATTATGAGACCAATACTAGTGTGGTTTGTGTCAAAAAAGACCTGAATTTGCAAATACTGTCTAAAGTTTAGACTTTTTAAAAGTTTAAACAAAACTTTTTTTTCGCTATAACTCTGCACTCAATCATAGGATCAGATGAGACAATCAGTGATGAACTCTTGTAATTCGCTTACTATGCATGTCTTGCGCTGTCAATGCCCTCGACATTCATGAGAGACACCACAAGAATGAACAGACATTTGCCATATTATCATCAAATATATTCAATTACATTATGAGAAAAACGGGAATTAAGATATTCCTAAAACTTTTCTATATCTATATTGACAGCTATTATCTTAAGAGACAATCTGTGAATTAATTTTAATAAGTTTTTATCGAATTTAAAATACTGTATAACTTTATATATATACTGTATTATAGTTGTGATTAAATTTTAAAAATAGCATAATATTTGGGCAAATGTGAGAAAATTGTGTCCCAAATGTCAAGTAATTCAACGAATTGCTTATGTAATCAACACTTGAATCAATCGCTGTATACAACACTAAATTTATAAAGTTATTTGTATTTGTTTGTTATATAACTCTTTATTCAAACGGTTTGCGAGATATAAAAACCCTTTTCCTTAGAGATTAAACACCAGTAATCGTTATGTAAACTATAAGTTTGATTAAATTACCTGTATACATTCTGTATAAATAATCCAATCAGTGATACAAACACTTACTTCACTAACTAATAGAGAGAAATACCTTTAATGGGAACACGTTTTACTCGCAGAGAAAGTCGTTATGATTTAACTCATTATCGCAAACAAAATAAGATTTTTTTCGTATAATTAGATCACAAATTTTATTTATTAAGTGCTTTTCATTCAATTTTGTGAAACATTTGAGATGAAAGAACAAATAAAGTCATGTCTTAATTAGAAACCCCTATCTAATCTCATTTGCAATCACATTAAACACTGATTTAAGGCTTTCCAAACAGTAATGGCCATAAACTGACGGATGTATAGATAATTAGATATATTTTTATTTGATAAATATTCAAACAATTTTTAATTAGATTTAAAATCGATTTAAGAGAATAAAGCTTTTATCGCAAAAGTGCTATGAATTGCATTCAATAATACTTCAAATATCATATCATTTTCGTTGAACCACTCATTAGTTGTCGTCGTTGGCGATGGTTTTGTGGCGAAGAGCGAGTATGAGTTGCAGTAAATCGCGTCGCGCTCTGCCGATGGCGGCCGGCGAGAACTTCAAATATCATATCATTTTCGTTGAACCACTCATTAGTTGTCGTCGTTGGCGATGGTTTTGTGGCGAAGAGCGAGTATGAGTTGCAGTAAATCGCGTCGCGCTCTGCCGATGGCGGCCGGCGAGCAGATGTCCGATATGTGGCGGTCGTCCGATCGGAACCGTTTGCGACAAACGGCTTCCGTGTTGCAGATCAGGTGAATACCGCAGTCATAGTTGTTGTCCTGTTGGGTGCACTCCATCTCCGTTAAGTCCAACTCCATGTCCGTCACCTGTTCCGCCAGCAGGAGTGGCGCCAGAATGGAGACAATGTGCTCGGCGTGCGTGCGGTTCACACTCCCTCTGAAGGAGTCGTAGTGCTCGAAGACGTGTCGGTGCGCCGAATACACCAGAAGACTCCAATGGCTGCCACCCATTTCCCCGCTGTATATGTCACAGTCGTTCACCGGGATTATCACCAGCTGTTTGTCCCGCAAAGACATTGTCGACAGCATTGAGTGCACGTCGGCGTTGTTCTGCTTAATGACCGCACTTTTAATGAAATGCACGACATTTGGACTCAAGAAGGCGATGCCATCACTGAACTCTTTGTACAACTGGTTCTCGAGGTAATCAAACCAAAAGCCGATCAGATTATCGTTCAGCCATTTGTTGCCCTTCAGGAGACTGATGTCCGAAGTTCTTAAGCAAGTGTCGAAATAACTCAATACTATGTCGCCCTCCGAGGCCATCAACGCATCCAATTGTAGTTGTGATAAGAGTTTAAGACAATAAGTATAATACAAATAAATAAATCAATTGATGTGTGGATTAAAGGCCGAGAAGTGTCTGCACTGTCGGGTACTTCCAGACGTCTTCTTTCAATTTGTCCGACACTTCCCGCAAATTCTTGAGGCGTTGTAAATGAAGATCTGATCCGCGATTGAGTGAATGAATGGATTAAATGAAAACAGATATGAATACAAGAAGTGTATGAATCAAATGGTAAACCTCTTTGAAGTGAGTTCACGTGGTTCTTGAGGTCGGACTCGTGTTTCACCATTTGTTTGAGTCGATTGATCTCAAGACTCAAATCGTTTGCCTTTTCCTCTGCACATGAAATCCGTGTCCAAAGAAAATATTGATTTAAATATCGATTTAATGCAAACACTCATCGCATGGCTATTACGGGGGACAACACACTCACCACCAGTAGGTTTGACTGCAGTCTTGAGATCCTTATGAGACAAATCTGCCATCAAATCGATGTCTAAATCGAGATCTTAGCGTTAGATTGAATGCAAACGCAAATCAATACAAATGATCACAATTTGAGTCTCATTTCAAATGCCCAGTGAATGGCAAACATCTGTTGTATTCATAAAACTCGTTATGAAATTCAAACATATTTTCTTTGATTGCCTTTTCATATGTTATAAATTACTCATCAATTAAATGCTCGTAAAGTGATTGGATTTACTTTCCCATGAATCGGATCTAATTATCACTAAAATCTGGGACACAAACCGTTTACTTAATTAACAATTAATAGTAATTAAGACTTGAGTGCAATGTTTGGGCAAAACTTTGTGCCAAACGTTGTGTTTGAATGTGTGATGAGTTTTACGGACTTTTCACAGGATTTGTGATTTTTATTTGACGGATGAGTTTGCGGTGCATATAGTGGTCGCTGAAGACGTCGATGACCGGAGACTATGCTGGGAGTGGTGTCTGAAGTCGTGCACCCATTGGTCCGTATCGTACACTTTGGTCCCATAATAGCCCTATTGATCATCAAATGCGTGTTCTTCACGACACTGTCGCTGACATCTCAATGGCTTTATATGACCGACTCGGCCATCGCGGCCATCAATTATCTCCTGTACTACGCATTCATAGCCACAGTGCTATACAACTTCTTCAGCGCCGTCTTCGTGGGGCCCGGCTTTGTGCCGAAGGGGTGGCAGCCGTCGGACCCTCGAGACGCTCAATATCTTCAGTTCTGCCATCAGTGCGATGGCTATAAACCGGCGCGAAGTCATCACTGCCGCCGATGCGACAGATGTGTGCTGAAGATGGACCACCACTGCCCGTGGATTAACAACTGCACCGGTTATCGCAATCAATGCTATTTTATACTCTTTTTATTGTCGGCCGTCTTGGGATCCGTTCAGTCGATCGTCTTACTAGTGATGGGATTGTATCGCGGTTTCTATTTGGTAGGTATCCCTCGCCGGTGTGCATGTCTTCCAGTGCGACACGAATTGATGGATTAGATTATGATTAATGAGTTAATAAAGGCTTCAATTGATTCACTCGTATATTAAATATGTGTTATAATGGGCTATAAATTGAGGTCTCGTTTACTGAGAACTAGTTTTTCTGAAGTTTTGTTTTTTTGTTTTTAATTTATTTGATTTGTTATCCCAAATGAGTTTAACTAATGATATATTAAATGATTGTAATTAATATTAAAAACTCTTTTTGTTTGATTGATTTGAATGGCAACCCACAGAACTGGTACTTATATCACTTATCCGATCGACTCGTGTATATATCGATGACTTCATTACTATTCGGTGTCTTCTCCATCGGTTTGTCCATCGGAGTGATTATAGCCGTCGGCGGACTCCTTGTTATTCAAGTAAACCATTCAATCATTTATTTATGGCTTCTATTAATTGATTATTAATTAGATTTTCAAAATTATGTTTCATTTTTGTTTAGTTAAAAATTTTATTCAAGAATCAGACGAGTGTTGAGGAATGGATTGTCACGAAAGCCATGAGCAGGAAAAGAGACGATGTCTTCATATATCCCTATAATATGGGCTTTTGGATGAACGCTAAACAAGTTTTGTTGGAACCCATAGATAATGGCATAGAATGGCCGGTAATTAATGGCTGCAATCAATACACACTTACCGTAAGAATTGATTTATTTAATGAGCGTCTCGTGAAAACTCTTTATCGCCTTTTAATCAGAAATCGATTTTTAAAATCAAATCAATTTTAATCGATTGTTATTTTTCTTATAAGTAATTCATTATCAATACTCTATTAATGGTGTGTCTAATGTGTGAACCAAAAGGTGGAACAACTTCTACAGAAAGAGGAGAAGCGGAGCCGAGCGGTCACCTGCCGGGCGACCGACGCCTACAGCGGCTCCTGGTTTCCGGTGTCGCAGGGCCTCGGCGTATGCCTGGCCTTCCCGTGCACTGACGAGCCGCGCATTGCCATCGCCGCCGGTGACTATCTGGTGGTGACGCGCTCGAAGAAGCACTGGCTGTACGGCGAGAAACTTAAGCCCGTGGGTGAGCGGCGGCGAGAGCGCGGCTGGTTTCCCCGGCGGGTCGTCGTACAGGTGCACATCGCCAAGAATCATGAGATTCACCACAAACCAGACGATAATTTATGTACAAATGATTGTGAAAATAAAAAATTAAATTAATTTCTACGAAACAAAACTGTTTATTGTTTGCACGTATTCTTTAGCGATGGTTAAGAAGCCATAGGATGTGATCAGTGAGAACAGCACCCGAAGCCATGTCCTGTCCGGTAGGAGTGCTTTGGTGGCCGCGCAGAATAAAATGGACCCGAAGTTGAAGATTACGGAACCGAAGGCTGAGAACATTATTCGGTTATAGAGAGGGAGGGCCCGCATGTGTCGACTCATGTATAGATAGACACCGATTCCGATGTGGGAATTGAATAGAAGACAATTGACAACTCGGACGCCACTGTTGGGCAGAAGGCTATGGGTATGGAAGGCCGTGGGAGAGGGAAAGGCTAATGCATTGGGCTATCAATTCATGGCAATTACTGACCGAAAGAGTCCGCCGGGGAGTGAAGAGTGCAATGAAAAGGCATAATAACTGACGCATCCATTGAGTGGTAAGTAGTAGGAGTAGACGTTGTGTTGGGTGAGGGGTCGGATGCAACTGAAAGGACGGGGTCTTTCACAAGGGGTTGAATCCATAGCGTCCGGTCAGGAATGTTAAGCTAAATAATACTCGAGGTTTACAGTTAAGACATGTCTGAAGTGAACTGAAATGACCAGATTTTGAATGAAAATATGTGTTTGCATTACGTCATCGCTATGAATGGCTTTGAGCCACTATTTTGAGTGGATTTGAAGGTAAAAGAGAGTGCATTATGTAAGAGGAGAGGAGGGATGGGAATAATGGAGACATTGGTTGCGATGTTCAATAGGTTTCTCCACTTATTATTAGACGCTATCTGTAAAATCAATGCTATGTTTGCTATACATTGTGTGAAGTAGTCTTAACTTTACCTCCAATACTGTTATAGTTACTGTATCTCTACGTTACGGCACAATAATTGTTTAATTAAATCAATGTTTTAAATGAGAGATGAAATTAATTTTGCGCGAAATGAGAAAAACTTTTGCTTCAAAAATCAGGTTTTATACAAATATAATGTTTGCATTTACTAATTGAAACACGACTTCACCATAAATGAGTTATTGAATGAAAAATCTAAAAATATATGACTTATAATTAATTTGGGTCGAGATTTAAAGGCAATCATAAATAATAAAGTGTCGAAAAAAGTATTTTTTTCGAGTTTTTTACATCAAATTCGTATATATTTTTGCGAATTTGTTTTTATTAGAAAATTCAAATTTATTTCCCAAAAGCAAAATATTATTAGAATAATAATAAGTGATATTTAGGTATGAAATTAAAAAAACATGGAATATATTTAGTTTGAGATATAAATTTAATGTGAATCTTATTCTAATGAATTAGGGAATGGGGTTAAGATTAGGATTTCCAAACAACTTATTTAAATTCATATGTTTTATAGATTTGGGTGTTTTTCCAATAGTTTCCATCATAAATGTTTTGGAAATTACTTTTGGCTATTGTTTTGTTAACTTACTTCACATCGTGTTATTATCACACTATCGATGACACGCTATACTGTAGGTATGGATCCCTATAAGGATTCCCTAATATCTTAATGATAATTGCAATTGACTTTTGTGTTTGTATTTCGGCTAAAAATATACTACATTTTCACCATTTATTTCGTGTTTTATTACTCGGAAAAAACATTTGATGTCTCATATAATGATGACTAGGAATAAAAAACGAAACTTCATTTGACTTAACATTTACTTCTATTATGGGATGTCTGTAACGATAGGAGCCTTTTGTGTTGCGAGACATTCATTCAAACATTGAGAAAACTGGTTATGACTATGAAATTAATAAAATAAACACAAATTGAAATAAATATAAAGTAATCTAACAAGTGAATACATTTCAAGAAAAAAACTAATTCTCAAAAAACTATTTATTTTTATTTAGATGTATGCAATAATTTGCTAATGAATCACAGAATCATTAGCATTATGTGCGAGTAATTTAACAATCATTCACTTTTTGTCGGCTCAATTCAAAACCTTATATAACTATAAGGTTGTCATATGAATGGGACTTTTGATTAAGCATGAGATAAGTCTATCGAAATCCATGATACGATTATCAAAAATTATTGCCATTAATTAGCTTAATAATTATTTATTACACAAATAAATACACGATTTAATTGAATAATAAGTACAAAATAATAGTGTTTTTAAGATATGGTATGTATATAAAGTAAAGTAAAAAGATTTGTTATAATTTATTTGAATATACATTGTATTAAAAAAATCTACGAAAATAAAGTTATTTACATGAAGCGGATATATAATTAAAAAGTTTATTAACAACTATAATCATAACAATAAATATATTTTTGGCACTTTATAACGCATTAAATACTACAGACAATTAACAGTTAATATAATTTCAAATAATAGTTAATAGTATAATACATATTAAAGTACATAAATTTCATTTTTAATGGAAATATAATTTAGTAGAGAAATAGTTGCGAAAGAAAATCATATATAAATTCATTCAAAGGATCTTTCGGTCGAAACGAAAGAGCGAAGAATTTACAAGAGATATATTAATCAAACAATTAAGGCTTCAAATGACACAAAAAGATATCAAGAAAAGCAAACATAACGCCAACCCATGAGAACTTGCCTTTCGTCTGAGCACATCAGATACGAACTCAAGTTTTTTTGCCTACTTTTCAATCAAGAGGTTAGTGACCGGCACCGGAGTCTTAGGACCCACGGAGTTGAAGAACTCTGCCTTCGCTTTCGCCACTCGCTGACGAATGGGACTCAGGTGTGGCACTGAATTGATCTTGATATCGCTCAACACATTGTTTTGTTTGTTCATCAGATGATTAGACCTGCGATTGTCTTCGTTACACAGTTTCATGTCTTTGAGTCGAGCGGCCGCGTCGTCAGGCGTGTGAATCCAGTCCAAGATATTGGTGTCGAAAGTGATATCATTATTGTTGTCATTAGTCGAGTAAATATTAGGTAATGTCATAGTCGTGGTGACAGTGGTGGCCGATGAGAGGATCGGGTGCTTGGGATCCATTTGGTCATCAGTGGCGACCGTGGAGTGAATATTCGTATTGATAGAGTTGACTATTTTGGTGGCGTTTGCGTGTGTGGTTTGGGTCACTGTATGATCATCTGTATGATCATCTCCGGTGTGATCGCCGTTCTCGATGTTAGTGGTGGCGGTCGACCCGATCTCTAGCCTTACGTTCAATGAGTTATCGACACAATAATTGTTATGATTATAGATATTATTATCGTTGCATTGGCGAGGATTCGATGGGAAATTCTGTGTGAATTTGTTTTGGCAGTCATTATGCGAATCCAGACGTGTATTCAATAATTGGCTTTTATTATCTCTATTATCTTTAGGCCTTTCAATGAGATTTATAGAGTTGTTGAAACGAGTTGTTGTTGTATGAGGACTGGCAGTAAATTTCGGTGTCGGATGTATTGGATAGCTTTTGGATCTATCCTCAGGCACTTCATCCGCGGCTTTATGCTCGCGAAAACTGGAACTTCTCATATAAAGTGGTGAAGTGGTGGTCCTATGATCACAATTACTACTTAATCCATCATTTGGTTTAATAGTCTTCTTATAATCAAATCCATTCGAGCCATTGAATTGTCTGAGAAACTGCTGATTAGCTTTAGACCAATAATTATTGTTTGTTAAGTCCTGTCTATTAGAATCAATTTTATGGGTTTCCGGATTGCAATTACAGAGCAGGCATTCATCAATAGGGGTAGAGATCCCAGTGATTGCATTCATGGGACTCATGGCAGTGATGGAAGCGATAGGAGTGGTCGGCGATTGTGTCTCTAATTTGTTGGCATATTTGCATTTCTGTAATGACTTATTAACCCGAGAATGCTTACCATTAGTGCCATTAGTGAGCTCTCTATCCATACAATGACACCGAATATTCCTGCAGTCGTTGTCTTTATTATTATGCTTTTGAGACTGACTTTGGCTTTGGGTTTGGGAACCACTTTTGGCTAATGCGTGACGACTGGCCTGTTTTATGATGACAGTGGCGTAGTCCTCAGGTCCGCACTTCACTGTCTGAGTGGCCGTCGACTTTGTATGTGTCGTATCATTGTATGCAACGATCGCGCCATTCATTTCTGGGAATTGTGCCGAAAAATTGGCTGACTTTGAGGCCAGAGGTTTGGCTTTCGAGACATTGCCTCCAGAAGTGCCCAGTCGTAAGAATTTACTCAAAACTGATTGCTCTAAAAAGTTTTTCGTTTGAAATGTAATTAATTAATTATATATAGAAAATAGTCATTAAATGTAATTAAAGTTATGAAGCAATTAAATCCATTAACACTTACTTCTGTTGGAATCGCTTTTGCTTTTATAACTCTCGGCTGAAGTGGACTCAGAAGTGGAAGTACTGGTCGACTCCAGAGTGCTCGACGGCTCAAAGATGTCGTGCTTTTTTCGGTGCATTTTGAATGATCGACTCCTTTTGAACGATGTATTTCTGGTCTCATTTGGGATTTGATTCATGGATTTGTTTGACTCGAGTCTTAGGGAAGCGCTTCGTCTCAGCGGTGAATTGGTTTGCGTTTGGCTTTTGTTATGCAAATAGTTATGTGTCTTATGTGTGAACGAGTTCTCGGTTGAAGCCAAAGAGTTTCTCTTGCGGTACATGTCGTCGATGTCTGGCTTCGTTGGCCACGACTTCTTGCTGTGAGAGCTGCCCTCAGAGCCATATTGTGGTGGCTTTCCATACAATCTGGTGAACGCTTCCTCGCCCGTCAAGAGGTGTTGAGTCTTAAGGGAGAGACTCTCCATGTCTTCCAACGAGTTCTCAAACGGATAGGGATGGGAGGTAGCAGTGAAACAATCGTTTTGAATGTCATAAAACAGTGTCTTATTTTGGACTAAAGATTTTAATGAGTTTCTCAAAATCTTTTCCGACGGCAACTCCATATTTGGGAACTCTTTTCGCAGCCGTTTCACTATAACCGCGAAAGTAGCCCTAATGTGCCTCACATTCAGTTCATTAACGCATTTGCATAGGGCTTCAGATAGGGGTGTGAATTGGGTTTGATTTACGATCGATGTCTCGATGAATGAAATATCGCCTAAAATGATATCCAGAGAGAGAGAAAAATTTAATTTATTTAAATGACAGCTAAAGTGTGTTTTTAATGTTTAGTCCCAAAATAAGATCAATTAATAACACTATTATCTCATTTGACTCAAAGGCTTCGTTAATCTATTTCGC